ATTTTCTTGGGATTTTATGCAATTTATCCTTTTTGGCTGGATGGGGTTTTCTTTTGAGTTTCCCGATTCTTCCTTTCCTTTTTGTTTGACTTCCTCTTGATTTTCTTTTTGTTTTCTCTTGATTTCTTCCTTTTCTTTTTTGTTTTCTTCCGTTTGAGGAAAATTTCTTTGATCTTGTGGCTTGATCTTGTGATGGCCGTTAATCCCTCTGCTTCCGATTCGCTTCCGACTTCTGCCACTGGCTCCGTTCCAGTGATTGCTTTTGGTTCTGTTCCGCTCATGATTTCTGGCTCTGATTCGGTTGCGGTTTCTGACATTCCTGGGAGTTATTCCTTTGCCCTATAAATCGAATAACTGTCTCCCAAACTACATTCTCTCTTTGACACGCAATGCAGGAGATCGTCAAAACTAAGGCCTCCACTGCCATCGCCAACGCCGTGTTTTTCTCCCATGTCATCATTCTGCGCTCCCAGACTTGATTCCTTATGCATCCTTTCTGCTGCGTCTCCAGCGTTACGGATCACTCACCGGTTAAACCTGTCCCGCCAGACATCACCATGCCTCCGCCTGCAACCACCATGACGGTAGCCACCAGATCTGAATCCACCCGATCCGCAGCTCTAGTTCACAATCAAACGAATAACCATCATGGTAATAGCGCGGATTTAAATCGACCGAGCCAGAGAAATAAAGCGGCGGTTAGGGAGGCGGCTCCGCCACCGGCGGATGCGAAGATTAGTGACCTCGTAGGGGTTGGGATATCTGGAGTACTGTACAAGTGGGTCAATTACGGGAAGGGATGGAGGCCGAGGTGGTTCGTTTTGCAAGATGGCGTGTTGTCGTATTACAAGATTCATGGGCCTGATAAGATCGTCGTTAACCAAGAGACCGAGAAGGTTGCAAGGTTATTGGCGAAGATTCCATGCGCATAATCTCCGGCCACAAGAATTCTCACTCTAATTTCCATCTTCTGCTTCTGTTTTCGTTCCGGTGACTGTTTCCGGTTTTGTTCCAGTCACAACTTCCGGCTTTGTTCCGATCTCCACTTCTGGTTTCGCTCCGATCTCTGCTTCCGGGTTTATTCCGCCCTTTGCTTCCGGCTCTGTTCCGGTCTCTGCCTCTGGTGGTTCTGTTCCGGTGACTGTTTCTGGTTCTTCCGTTGATAACGTGGGTGTCCTTCCCTCTTCTTCGGCGCCGGAGCCCTTTGATATTTTCTGCTTTCCCCTCAATGCGGATGGGAAGTTTGTTGTGAAGGGCACTTTATGTCATGTGGAGAGGGATCCCATGACCCTTCCTTTTCCAATGGAGGTTCCTACGATTTTTTCTCCCAAGCCTGTCTTCTTAACTAAAGAGAGAGCAGTTGGTCCTCCAACGCCTTCAGGAGCGCTGCATCCAAGAACAACACCACCTTCATCGCCTCAATCCTTCTATCTCCAGCTCCTCCAAACGGTCCCCCAATTCCAACTGCCGAGATCGTGAAAAAAGGCGAGACAGGGAACGCTACTTGGGATGCTACAATTGCCAGCATGAGGAGGAAGCCAAGGAGCGTGAGTGTGCGTGGTTGGAGAAATTCGCAGATCGAGATCGTGAGAAGGAGTTGAAGGTCATTAAAGAAGAGTACATTGGATCAAAATCCTCACAAGGCCCAGCTCAGGGGTTCCTAGCCGAAGTTGTCCGAAGGGAGCAGAGAAAGCTTGTTGCCAAGAATGTGAGAGAGATGTAGTCCCTTGCTAAGTTGATTGTGCTTGATGGCATCTCTGAGTTTGAGAGCATGGATGTTGCTGTGTAGGTTTAAGTTGATCCAAAGTTGAAGAAAGTTTATGATTAAGGTTCAATGCATGTTCCTTTGGGCAGATCTCTGGTTGAAGTAGAGTGAGGATTGGGCAGCTTTTGAGGATGCAGAGGATTCTGTTATAGCTATTCACAGTTGGAGTAGTTTTGTGAATGCGGAGGTTCTCAAGGTACCCTTTATTCTCTAAATGCTCAGCTTTTCAGTCCTCGTGTTGAACCTGCATGTAAGAACATTTTTGAAAAACATTTGGGTTGTACTGCTTTAATTTCGTTCTTTAATTTTGCTCAGGTTTATGATGCTGGTTCCCATTGTCTGTCTATTTTCTGCAACTCATTGGTACTTTGGATTCTTGCTGCTTGCATGCTAAGGTTAATCTTATTTAGATACGAGGGAAGAGCAAAGGTATGATAAACCTGTGTTGTTAGTTTAAGAATGCTATGATGTATTAAAAAAGAAGAAAGAACTTATCCCTTTTGCTGCTTTTGTCTTGAAGTGTCCAATTCTTTGTAGCGCATATTGCATAGCTTTTGTCAGGGTATTTATGTACACCCAAAGCTTGCTCATAGCTTCTTCGCTTGTGTAACTTTTGCTTGGATATTTATGTACATCCAAACTTGCTCGCAGCTTTTGTTTTTTGCTTAGGTATTTATGTACACCCAAACTTGCTCATAGCT